TTTCGCGGATGTTGCTTCTTTTCTGATTTTGGAAACGATTATTTCCAGTAGCTCTATTTCCCTGGTATCCGTTGTCCAGTCGGCTTCTGCATTCTCATATCCGATGCCCTGCTTTTCCACACCTTAGGCATAGTTTCCCATTCATTCTTCTAGCGTATTCTTCCTTAGACAGATTCTGAGCAGGCCCTGCTCTTGATTTGTCCAATTCCATGGGTTCACCTGGTGGTAATGCTCGACTTTCTCCTCGAGGTGCTTGCGGTTTGAAGGTCCCGTCCACATTCCTGGATGATTGGACTACCCTATGTGCTATAGTATTTTCCGAGTTGCTCCGAACCATGTTTAATTTGCTTTCTTTGTCGATTGCCCATCTTGCAAATCGTTCGGCTGTCATATAGCGCAAGTCAGAGATTCCCCATGCCTCTCGGAGTCTCTCAGTGCATTTTCTCAGGAGGATGATGTAGAGAGTCGCGTCATCAAACTCGGCCTCATATTCCAACAGTCGACATTCGTTCCAGTATGCTGAGAACGTTTGTTTTCCTTGCTGGAGTTTTTCTAGTTTTCGTCTTGCTGTTTCTTTGGCGTTGGGGTTTCCAAACTGTTCAAAGAGTGTCGCCTTGAACTCTTCATACATGACCCATTCCCTCTGTTTCCTTCCATCTTGGAAGGGCATGATCCATTGTCCCGCGAGTCCTCTGAGTAGGGATTCCACATATGGAATCTTAATTTCATCATGGTGATCTCCGTATCCCTTAACTGCAAAATATCCTCGTATTGCGCCAAGAATATTCGTAGCTTATCTTCGGCTCCTTCGTATGTGTCGGGCTCCTTTGCTTTTGGTCGTTGGACATTTCCATGCCCTGTATTTCGCGTGGCTGCAAGAAATGCCTGAAACTGATTTTCAGTCATTCCAAGTATACTGGTTCCTGGTGCCGGAGCGGCTGGGGCCGGTAGCACAAGTACTGCGGATCCCGACATTCTCTCCGGTCGTGGCGTTCCAGCAGGAGAGCTATCGACTGGTGATCCTTTCTCTGGGGTTACTGGGCTTGCTGCTCTCGAGGGTTCTGCTGAGATGTAATCTAGGGAGTCGCTGAATCCTCCTAGATTAAGATTTTGATCGTCAATGTCAATATCTCCTTCCCAATCAGGGTTGAAGGGTGCCATCTTGTATCGTTTGGTGTCGCACTAGGTGACGCTTTGTAATGTAACGATCCCCTTTCAGTTAGTTATTTCTTGGCGACGGGGAACGATACTTATCTTTCCTTTCCCTTTCTTTCCTTGTCTTACAATAGCTCTAGGCCTCTGCCTATGTCACCGATAGTACAAGACCTCTGTCTTCTACCGGAAACACCTATCGTAAGCTTTCTCTAACTCATCTTCGTAACAAGTGCTTCTTAGCGTAACGATAATGTTGCAATAAGGATAAAGATCGTAAAGGTGTTTTATATTCGTTAAAGTAATATGTAGGAAAAGTACTTAGAACAAAGCGTGAAGAACCTATCTTCCTCAGCCGCATCGGCCTTCTTATATAGTGTTCTTCCCGCCTTTAATCATGTGACCTAAAGTGGTCACATGTGCAAAACCAAATCAAAACAAACTAATCATGTGACCAAAGTGATCACATGCTCAAAACCCATGACCTTATAGCAAGGTCATGTGCAAAACTCATAAACCAATCATAACGCAATAAACAAGTCATATGACTCGACTGAGTCATATGCACGAAACCCATGACATCATAATGAGGTCATGTGCGAAACATAAATCATATGCGCAAGGCTTGCCCATAAGGCATACTCGTAAGGCATACTCGTCAGGCGCATGTCCCATGACTCATACTTGAGCCATGTGCGAAAGTATCACAAATCCCACACATAACTAATCATACAACCCAAATAGGTTATATGCGTGAAACAATAACATACCTGTGACTCATAACCATGTGTCATGTGAAAACCCTTTCCTCACTAAGCCATGTTCGTGACAGCCATTCAACTTGTTTTGTAGTTGTTGGCAATCTTGGTACTCTTCGCTGAAATGCATCCATTTGTAGAAAACTGGTTGCTGCCTTGCTACACCATGTCACATCCAAAGTGTTCTATCTCACCCAGGACTCTATCTCACTGAGCACCCCCAGTCTAAGTATCAAAGTGTTTTCTGAGCTTTATAACAATCATCAAAAAATGGAGATCATAATAATATAATAAGTTTTATAATAAATTTTTATTACTTTATCTTTACTGTTCTTCTTAGTCAGTTCTTAGTAGTCATAAATGAACAAAATATTACTATACCTTTCTAGACATATATATCTATCTATTTAAAGTTTACAGCCTAAGTCTTCTTAATGCTTATTATTGTACATTGACAAAATTAACCGCGATTCAACAATCAGTGTCAACCCACCCCTCTTCATCATCCCGCACTCTCAACACTACCTAAGAAAATTCCTCTAAGTCAGTCAAGAAGAAACCATTCTTCTCAATTCTTTTTTTCGATAAACTATGCTTCCTATTCTTGGCAGTAATGTCAAAAAACCTATTCCTTCTACACATCTCTCTGGATTTACCAGGGGGAGGATTCTCAGGTTATATGAGCCTCAGATGAAATATCAGCAAATTTTCCACTACATCAATATCCCCTACACTACTATCAGAGACATAATTGTGAAGGGACATCAAGAGGGCAAGGACAATAAGGGTAGAAGAAGACATCCTAAAACTACCAACTCACAGGATGATACTATGGTGGAAGAAGCTCTTAAAAATCGCCATACTACCTATTCTGACATTGCTGAGCAAGTTGCTCCCAATGTTTCCAGTAGGACAGTAAGGAGAAGACTTGAAAAAAAGCATCATAGAAAGTGGATAGCACAATAGAGAGTTTATCTGGATAATGATCTAGCTCAAGAGAGGTTGGAATAGGCATTAGCTCATAGGTATTGGACAAAGGAGATGTGGAGAAGGAAGACAATATGGGGGGATGAGGTAGCTGTAGAAAGGGGAGAAGAAAAGAGGAGAAAATGGATTCTCGGATACCCATATGAGAAATAGAATAAAGATTATGTTAAACCTAAGGCTAGGAGAGGGGAGAGAGGGATTAACCAGATGATGACTGGTTGTTTTTATAGTCAAACTCAGGATCTTTTTTGCCTGTTTTTCCTGATTTTTCTTCTGCTAGAGGTGGAGTTACTGGGAAGTCAATTTTTGATGTTTCTGATTATTATGACTTTTTAGGGATATGGGAGAATATCAGAGAAAAGTCTAGAGAAGAAGAGGTATTTTTTATCATTGACAATGCTAAGACTCACTTGCCTTTTAGGAGATAGCTCAGAGGACAGGTAATTACACTAATGGAAATTTCTGCCTATTTACTAGATTTTAATCCAATTGAAAATATTTGGTCTCTGGTGAAAGGTAAGCTTCACAAGCACTACCCTGAGCTATATCTTTTGAAGGGTGATGTCAATGTGGTCAAGAAGGCAATAGTAGAGGCCATTACTCATTATTGGAAACTTCTTGACTCAAAGGTTTTTGATACTTTAGCTGGATCAATTGTGGATAGAATAGAGGCAATTATTAAGGCTGATGGATGGTATACCAAATATTAATTTCTACTATGTATTTACATCTTTTAATTCTTTTTTTTTGGTTTTCATAATAGTGGATTGGTGGGTGAGTGTGGTTGTCATCATCAAAGATTTTCCTCTCTTGAATCACAATTAATTTTGTCCACGCACAATAGCATTGTCTTCTGCCTAACACAGACTTATCATACAATTGGAGATAAAACTATTTAGCTTCAGTTAACAAGATCTGGATGGAACAAGAGACAGGAGACAATTCAACTTACTTTGTGCAAAATTCACGTATTATACAAAAGTAACTTCACTTCCCAGTCCAATGAGTTAGTTAATGAACCAAATAGTTTCCTAATAGAGAGATGAAGAAAAAGACAATATATTCTATTTACCCTGTATTATAATTGACCTTTATTTTTTTCCTTATGGATTTCTCAAACCTGTAGTGACAGAGCTACAAAACAAAACAAGAAACTGGAGACAATAATGGACCATACAATGCAGCAGGGTGGTCCGGAGGGAAAGACCCAGGATCAGTATTAGTGCCGAACCTACCGGCGACACTTGATTTGGCTGCCGGAGGTATGCATGTCTACTGGCACAATCATCAGAATTGCCATACTTTTTTGCACCTACCAAACACATCGATACCGAAAACCCCCCCCCCTGCCAAATAAAAGCAGAAAGTTGCCCTCGAAAGAAGAAAGGAAGTCAGACTTGATAAATATTTCTCTTAAAGAATTTGTCCCTTCCTACCTGAAATCAATGGAGTACCTGAGGTGCTAAGAACTTTGTAGGTGTGAATCCATACCCGGAGAAATAGCATATCCCGAGTGACAATCCATGCTCGTGTCCGGGAACACAGCTGACCAGACCATGTCCAACCAATATTGGAGCTACTTTAGGTTTCTACCGGTAGAGCCATGATATTATTACCGGTATGACACCCACACTCACGCCAATATTATCACTTGGAAATAAAAAACCCAAACCCAAACCCAAACCCATGAGAACCTAGAAGTAGAAAAACATGAAAACAAGACAGAAGTAAACTGAGACTGATGATGACATATCCCACTCATTCAACCTGGGCCATCCCATAGTAAAGTAGAGTAAAAAAAAAAAGAAAAAATTATAAAAGCAAATAAGTATACCATGTAACCTGAGAGGTAGAAAGGAGAAAACATACGCAAACCCCCAGCTAACTAACAAAGCAGTGTGGACATGTGAATAGAATACTTTATGAAAAAGATAAAAAACCACTACCTTTTTGCTGACAAAAACATTCCATCTCTGTATACTACTTGAACGACGAGCAAACAAACAAATAAAACCAGCCCATGATTAAAATCCAGGGATGTGATCGATAACTGCCGACGTGAAACAAGGTGCAGATAGTAAGATGCCCTCGGTAGAACCGGGCTTTTTTTTTTTTCTTATTCAATTTGGTGATCCGTCTTTCCATCAATCTAGCCTTTGAGCAAAGGCTGAAATAGAATCGGGATATAATAGACTGACACAGACCACCTGCAAAACGAAAAGTGTGAGAAGTAAAAATTCCCCTAGGAAATTAAGAAAGTGTGCGAAATAAAGACTTAGAACCACTTGTAACATCTGATAAGATACGAACTCTCTCACTCTCACGCCCCCTCAACACGGCGGCCCCAGAAAGTAAGAAAAGAGCAAACTAGCGCCTCCGCATAGCCCGACGCCTCCTGGTTGCAGGTGACTTTTGCTCCTCCAGCGCCTTGTCGTCTTCTTGTTTATCACCAGGGTGCATCTCATCAACTAGAGATGCGGTCTTTGCAATCTTATCCCGGGTGCGGCGAGGGCTACTTCTCGGAGTTTCCACTGCAGGGGAACGATTCCTGGTTGTTGGTTTTTTAACAAGCTCTTCCTCTTCTCCCTTTATCGTCTCTTCGTCAATGTGTTTGTTGTTGGGGTGTGTCTCATCGATAGGTGACTTGCTCTTTGTGTTTACCGTCAAACGGGAGGATTCTGAGGCCTTGAGTGAGCGGGATGTAGCTCTCTTCTTGCCTTCAGCTGAAGGACCGGCCCCTTCAATTGGCGGTAGGTATACTTGGAAGAATTGTGACCGAAGAAAAAAAAGGGTTCCTAGATCATCGCCTCCACGCAGGACAGTAATATTTTTGAAGGAATTGCCGTTGGGTGGCTTTTCAGGACCGGTGCCGTTTTCTTCGAGAAGGATACGCTCAATTTGTCCCGGGGAATGGACATCATGCATTATTTTGTCCTCAACGCCAGCAACCGATTGTCGCATCTGGGCTGGAGGGTAGGATAATTGCATAAAACCGGTTACCTGGTCAATGGCTGTGACCTGTAAGTTGAAGGTGTTAGCTCTACCACAGCTAATGATCAATATATCGGACTCAAATGGGACAGGTATACAATAGCATATTTCTCAATCAGGCTGTAACCAACGAATTGACGTCTTAAGCGAAGTGCATCATTAACCCGGATTACATGGTGCCGAGCCATAGTAGTCAGTTTGATTGACGCTGCCTGACCTGCTAGGACCGGGTTTATGATTTCCTTCTTCTGCCCCCAGAAGGACTCCATGGCACGATCCTTCATGAACAGGAATTCGTCGTTGGCCCGACGATGCATGATCGAGTCAATCTGATCACGGAATTTCTGGCCGTATTTGCCTTGCTCAAGGCGCTCTCCGATAGTACTCAATTGTGTTCGGAAGCGGGTGTCATTCCAGAATGATGGAAGAGCGTCCAAGTCCAAATTGCCATTGAGGCGGCCAGATTCATTACCACTGACCTCCCTATCGAATCCTGGGAGAAGAGTGTGGAGTTTCGCCGTTTGCTCATCGCTAAGCAAGTTGAAATTTTCGGGAGTGACGAGACTCTATGAATGGTTAGTTCGAAAAAATGCGGATTGTTGGGTAGGAGAGCACCTGCCTCAAATCGGCTCACTAGCGGGTTTCTGCGCTCAATGATTGGAGGCACCCATGGCTTTTCAGGGTGCTCTTGACTACGAGGAGTAATCGATCTCTCTGTTACTCTCCCTGGTTCAACGTCAAGTCCATTCTCGACAGGCGAATCTATGGCTTCAGAAACATCAACAGCTGCGCCCTTCGGTTCAGTCGCATCTGTGATAGCACCCTTTGGCTCGATATCCTTGATAGCATCCTTTGAGCTAATATCCGTGATAGCATCCTTTGGCTCGGTATCCGTGATAACCTCCTTGGGTTCAGCGTCCTTTGGTTCCGTACCCGTGATAGCGTCCTTTGGTTCAGTTGTATCGGTGATAGCATCCTTTGGTTCAGTTGTATCTGTGATAACATTCTTTGGCTCAGTTTCGGTTGTATCCGTGATAGCACCCTTTGGTTCAGTTGTATTCGTAACAGTCCTCCTGAGTTTCTTGTCGTGTGAACCTGTTGGTGAAGATATAGTTATAGCCTTTCTCTTATTCCCTCCACGAACTCGAGAGGAGGGAGGGCTGGAGATGGGTTCAGGATTAGGCGCGACAGAAATGCCTTGGTTAGCGTTTGCCAAACTCTCTAGGCCAAAAGTCGCAAGCGATTTTTTAGCAGCTATCCTGCCCGACGAGCGACGTGACATAGTATCCATTACTTAAACCTATGTATTAAAGTTAATTTATCTGTTTGATGAGAAAACAAGCAACACCTGGCGGGTTGATGATCAGGCTAATGTGGAATGGAAGTACGGTACTAACGGTAATTTGGACGACTAAATGAAATCGCGGTAAGTGTCAGGATATGGAGATTGCAGATGGTTCAAACTAGAAGGGCAATCTGTTCAACAATTTTTATATCGCTGATGGAGATGGAATCGTACAAAGTCTTGATGCGGCGCAATAGGATGCCACGATAGGAGATCCGATTGAAAAAAAGAGAAAAAAAGAGAAAAAAACTAGAGGAGGTAATCGTGTCACTTACCTAGCGCCGCTGTAGAGAATATATATATATATATATCGGGCGAGGTAAGGTAAAGGAGAATAGTGCAGTAGGAACAAACCGAAACAGGCAAGCAAAATTATTCGCCTTCTGTTCCGCTGGTGGATATGTATGTAGATGTATGTGTGTATGTGCGGAGGAAGTGCGTGTAGCTGAAGCTGGGAGAGAAAAGGATAGGTGGAGTAGAGAGGGGGGGGAAATAAAAGGTGAGAAGGGAAGAGGACTGCTTGGTGGGAGATGAGAGGGAGTTTGACCACCGTACCGGTAGGAGAGAGCAGTCCTTGGGAAACCTACCGTACAGTGACAAGAGTACGATCGCCACAACGCGTGCGCCTTGCGGCTCCCCACACGAGCAAAAATTACCCTAACCCTTGCCGAGACTTGGCGTGTTTCCGAACCCGTTGGCGTTCCCGCTGAGTCCCTTGACGACCTCCCTCAGAAAGGGCTCCTAAGCCCATCATTCATTCGGGTATGATACTGTCGTGTAAAAGTGGAGTGGTATCATATGAATAAGAGCCCCTTTCACCACCTGCCATAGCATTATAAATCCAATTAGTGCGCTACTTCATCTTGTACCTTGTTCATTGAATAATCGATGATGCAGTGAAGTTAAAGTTTGCGTGTACTGTACAGTACTCGAGTAGCTGTTGGAGCCGCAGCAACCCTACCCGCACTAATTTACACACAAGAAATTTCTTTGGCTATTCCCAAACAGGCAAACACAAGATTTGCCGAGGTTACTTAGTCCCAACTCTACCCCAAAGCGTGGCATCCTAGAGGTGGTAGTGGAATCGGTTTAATGGAACCACGGAAAGTCTGGTCGTTGGAACGTCTTAAATATTATATTTGCAAAATGCCCGAGTTTAAGATCGTCCCTCACTTCATCCCCAGTATCTCTTTCACGTCAAACAATTCATGCAAGAACACTTGTCAATATAGGTACCCGCGTTCATGCGTCTTTGCCAAGAGTGCGCAGGCCAAGCTGTAGGAACAACACATTGCCGTACTGGTACGCTTCTAGAACTAAAGCAACAGGAGAATGATCACAAGTCATCTTTCACCTCCATGAATGACCTCTGTCATCGTCTCTTCTCGGAGTTCTCGACCTGCTTCTTCTCCTTCTCCGCCTGTCTCTATCCTCATTGTCCCTTCTATACCGATGTCTATCTCCACTCCTGGTTCTGCTTCTTTGCCGCCTTACTCTCACTCCCCCCCGGTCTCTGTCCCAGTGTCTGTGGCTATCCCCACCGTCCCTACCCCTACTTCTGCTCCGCTCCCGTCTACCACTACGTTCTCTCCATCTACCCTTTTCCGCGGGCTTAAACTCCCCTTTCACACCACCTCCCTCATCCCATCCCCTAGACGCGCCATCGAGAATGTTCTTTCCGGTTCTCTTCCCGAAACCAACTCCCTTACCCTCCTCCTCTTCATTTCCGGACTCCCTAATAGCCCTCTTGACCTCGCCCTGGTCAACAGGATCCATAGGTCTCTTGACAGAGGCCTTGAATCCTAAGGCCTCACTAAGAGCATCCTGTTCCGCTTCCTTGATCATCCGGATCTCCTCCTTACGGGCTTCCTCAGCTGACGTCTCACCAGCCCCAGATTTAGCATACCATGTGAGGTCTTTGTTTTTTTGCCATCGACCGACAGCTAAGAATCAACGGATTAGTTAGTCAAAATATAAAAAGCAAGAAAGAGAAGCGGGGAAATAAATAAGCGTAGATGGGTATTTAGCATTGATAGGAAAATTTATGACGAGAATAGCGAGGAGTGGGCAAGCGGTGGAAAGAAACGGGAGGAGGGTAACACACGGGCCATAAGAGAATGCCCTAAATAGTTTTCACGGTCCTTATCCTCCTTGACATCCTCCCATTTAAACTCGGACCGGCCGCCACGCGAGGAATCGCCCTTGCGCAGGCCAGATAGGAGATCCATCACTGCGCGGGGTGAATAATAGTCTCGGATAACTCTCCGAGGGAAGGGCGAATTTGGTGCTGATAGCGGTTTCCAAGCGGCCGAGCAAGCAGGTAGGCAAACGACTAGGTGACGTTAGAAGATAAAAGAAGGCGGCAGGTAGGCTGATGGGTGATGTAGGCGAGTGCAGGTGTGTGTCTGTCCCGTGTTTTGATTGATTGACTGGAGAATGATCGGGACGATAGCTGAAAATGCACTAGACTACCCCAGCACCCGATGTCACACGCTTTTGCAGTTCAAGCGGTCCAGTACGGAGGGAGTATGATATGTGAGATGGAGTGTTTGTAATACAGATGCGGAAACTCCAAAAGATGCTTGACCGAACTCGCTCAGCCCCACAAAAGTTAGAGAAAAAAGAGAGAGAAAAAAAAGGAAGAAAGAGGGGGGGAGAAAAAAAGAGAGAAAAGCAGGAGAAAGAGGGAAGATTGATTTTCAACGCCTCCACCTAATGAAACTTGACCAGACCATGTGAGGTCAAGTCAAATTTTACAGCTTCGCATAAACCCTAACCACTGGCTCCTAGAGCCGCACCAATACCAGGGCTTGTAACCATCTTTGGTAAGACGACAGGATCGGACAAGCAGATCTGAGTGGCCCCTGGAGAGAAATGTTGTGATTTTGTTAGCCGTGTACGAGTACTCGTACGAATTGCACTAAAACGCATTCAGTCTTGACAGTTAAAATACATAAGTTATTCCTTCGTCTGCATAATTATTTTATTGAGGCTTTCGGCAGATATTGGTAAAAGGGAGGCTCTACTCACAGGGTTTTGTATGGAGTAGGCGCGAGTGCCAATAGCAAAATATGGTTTTCTTTGAGAAAATTTCGCTTGCGTTTTAATTCTAATTCTAAAAGCAGTTGTAAACTACATTTGAACACTGTTGCCACTGTGGACCTGATCCCATAACATCTGTAATAGCCGTTTTCACAAGTATCCGGATGTCTTGGCGCAAAGACATCCCCAGAAACCTCGTCAAATTGTCTTGTGTCGAACTCCATCCTTTTGTTCCACAACACCACCCTATTTGAGATACTAGTATGATGATGGAAGAGTTTCCAGGATGGTACATGTTATTGTTAAGAGAGGCAAGAAAATATTCCAAATCCCACTTTGGTGAGAGTTAAGGCTAATTATGAAATAGGAAAAGATACCACACCACGACATTGCGCTACTATATTCATCTTAAGATGTCTAGATATTCCGTTGACTTTTAAGAAGATAGAGGAAATCACCGGTATATCCGGTTCCACAGCCTCAGATATCTGGAGGCATGCGTTAGCAAATACAAGGAATACTCAACTGGCTCCTAGCACTATTGCCCCCGGTAGTTCTCCCGCCCCCAACAGTTTCACATCCACCAGTCTTCCTCCTCCAACTATCAGCCTCTCATTAGCTACCAGCTTCCCTCTACCTACTAGTCTTCCTTTGCTGCATAGCGCTTGTGTACCTACCAGCTCTTCAGTACTCAGCAGTAGCTCCACTAGCATGCCCGACAAGGAATTTATATTGATGCAATTAATTACTGCTCCAGTGTTAGACTCAGCTCCGAAGAGTGGGCAGCCACCTTCTCTAAGTAAATCTAAGTGAAGTTGAGAAGGATCAATTAGTTAGGTATGTAAAAAGGGATTTCACCTCTCGGAGAATGACACAATGTGACATCCAGCAAGTAACTGGCCTATAACATGTGAGTAAAACTACAGTTTACGGTGCCTTGGGAGAGCATGGGATTGGTGCTTACCAAGAGCTATTGAAGTTCATTTTAGATGAGGAAAACAAAAAAGAAGATTGATTAGTGATTGCTTCAATGTTTACTGACCAAGTTCCTGGCTGTCTGATCACCCATGTCTATATCTAAAGTGTGTGAAAATTAATACTAATTATCCTCTAGTAGGAGTACTGTGAACACCAGGTTCTTGGCAGCAGGTAAAGGTGTAAGCAGACTATGTGTTCATGGATGAAAGGTCAATAGAGATTGGAGTTTTCTATGGACCTTGTCTTGTATGGAGGGAGAAGAGTGAGAAATGGGTGGATGATGGTGTTGGAGTAAAGAAGAAGCAATGAGCTTCAATTATGTATTGGGGAATGATATCTTATGGCTGGAAAGGACCCTTTTGGATTTGGAAAGTAGAAGCAGAAGAGGAGAAGATAAAGGCAGCCAAAGATATCATAAGTTACAATGATAATTATAAGGAAGAAGATTCTCACCTTAATGCTACCTAGCGGGCATTGGAGCCATGGAGGGAATTGCAAATAATTAAATTATCTAATGCTCAGGAAGTACTCATATTGGTTATGGCTATTAAAGTTAGGATAAAACCACTCAATCCTAGCAAGGCAAGAAGTATAAAATTAAAAAGTTAAAAGGGGGAGACCCACTAGAATTAGACTTGTGGCATTATGTTACTTGTCTTGCTCAGCCTGTAATATGGCGAGCATGCTAAGCACGAATATTAGTCAACTCAAACATTGTCCAATTGAAAGAGAATACCCCAGCAAATAATTCAGACTTCACCAACTGTGAGAGAGAGAAAGAGTGGATTGCTAAGGTGGACTGGCCTCCTGATTTCCTGGATTTGAACCCTATTGAGCACTTATAGAATGTAATAAAATCCAGGCCAGGGATTCAAACCTGAACTGGTGTTGAAAGAATGATATCAGTCAGGCAATGAAAGCTAGTTCTAAAGGAGGAATGAGAGAAGATTGCAATAGAAGAAATTAATAGGAAAGTATTTAAACTACCAAATATGCTAGCTCAATTTATCAGCCAAAAGGAGGGTAATAAATTTAATAAATTATCAGAGCAGTTTTATTATTTTTTACAATCTCTATTAAGCTCCCGAAATCTCTTGGTATTAAGGCATCCAGATGTTTGTGTAAATGAATAGTACTAGGGAGTTGACAAAAGATGTAGCTACTGCCAAACAAAAAATTCGGCAATTACATAAAGATTAAGCCAAATTAGGAAATTCAAGTGATACCTGATGATTATATTTTGGTGTGAGGAAAAAGTCATAACTACTTTCAAATGGGAAATTACTGCTAATAATATCTTTTAAGTATAATAATAAGGTAATAAAGTACAGCCACTATCTCTACTATACCTCTGGTAATTGAAATTTAGAGGATATTTGGCTCAAGCAGTTAGTAAATTAAAAATGTGTTTTTGGAAATTGTAAACTAATTAATATAGAATAATCTATGTTAATATGCTAATTGAATTAGATTAGTGATAATAATTACTTATTATTCTCATCAATGAATATATGCTCTCAGACTATCAGATTTTGAAAAATAGTTCTGTTGATGTATACTAGTATTATAAAGAGTTTTTTAAACATTTCAATTAGCATTTATAGAGACACTGTTAGGCAGAAGCTAACTCTAATATCCTTAGAGAAGACTTAGGCAGGAATCTTTGGTATAGACAGAGATTGTCTAGAAAGGCTCAGTAATGTTCATTTTGTTCATGACTACTAAGAAATCTCTTGAGAGGACTGTAAAGATATTGTGATAAAGATTAGTTTGTAGAACAATTTTATATTGTTAAGATCTCTTCTGTCTTACTTGATGATATCGGTAAAGCTTGGGAGGCACTTCAATATTTATATCCTGCATCTGACTGTTTATGTACTACTTCTAATATAACTGAAACTCCTATGGGGAAGTTGAATTCTGAGGTTGCAATCATACCAAAATGATTTCTTCTGGGAATAAGTACAACAAAATCCCAATGTCTTAGCAGTAGAGTCTGAAGAAACAAAACAGTGAAATTTAATATTATTAAGCTACAGCTTTTGCTCAGTTAAGTCCTAATCTGAAGAGGTAGTTGATTACCAGAGTAGAACAGAACTTGCATATATGTAAGTAGGATTCATATACTGCCAGTTGGTCTCTATCACTATCTATTGACTGTTTCCACTACACCTCTGGTGATTGAAATTTATTTCCTATTTTGGAAGACCTCAATACCACATTCTTTCTCCCGACTTTTTGCACCTGTTCTTCACACTTGAGAGAGATCAAGCCATAGCCTCATATCCTTCTTGCATTTTCTCTTGATGTCTACCCTCTTGAGGCCTTCCTTCCCTCCTCCCGGTATCTCAGAATAGTAGTCCTCATTCCTACCTGGCTTTGACTATAGTGTCATAAAATTGGATTATCACAAGGCAGATTGTTAAGGAGGAATAAAGGTTATTACTTGACTAGAGCTTGCGAGTTATAGGTGTTTATTGTTATATGATAACTCACAGTTGTAAGTCATATGACATTATAATTTTCATGTGTAACTGATACTTATGAGTCATGATTCTCGCGTATGTAACATGCTTAGTGCACATGACTTAGTATGAGGTATATGAATGGCTTAAGTATGTTGCATGGTTGACTCATGTGAGTTAGCTGCAGATCTCACATGACTTACAATTGTGTGTCATAGGATATGGTGATGTGAAGGTATAAGTCAAAGAGGATTACAGTTAGATGAGGTATTTATATAAATAGCAAAGTCTAGTAACCTCTAGTATAGCATGCTTTGTACCTTCTATTCCCCTCCCCTACGTTCTACCTCTGCCTTCGACACCATTAGCATCTGGTAAAAAACTCCTTGCACTTCATGATCCTCCTCACCTTGAACTCAAGGACTACTTCTCCATGTACAGGATATGGACCCTGCCAGGTACTCCTGCTCTCACGCTCTGGCATCACACCAGGACACCCTCTCCTAACCCCTCTCAGGCCTATCCTCAGCCATTCCAATTCTCCCACTTCATGAGAATCAAGCAAGGCCTCTCTTCTTATTAAGGGAGTTGCTAGAATGGCCCCCTAAATACCTTCCCCCACTAACCCGTAAAGATATACTAGATCTCTCCACTGGAGAGTACTACTGGCTGCCACTCATCTCCTTGCTAGTACAGGCCTGTCTGCCCTCTCCAACACTGTCAACGAACTCAACACTCGGGTT